GATGTAGCAATCTTTGATGCATATGTATTAGTCAATGATGTAATCTGTGTTGAATATGTATTAGTTACGAAATTTTAGTGTATAAATTGCGAACGCGATGTGACGGGAATCGGAACCAGATTTGGGTGCGTACCCCTGGTTCCCGGCGCCTCAATAAAGCACCTCATATAACCATCCCGGTGGTTATGTGTTTGTCTCGACGCTAACAATGGGAGTGGGATGGGACCGGGACGGAGTCGGGATGGGAACGGGATGGGAGCCGAGATAGGAGCGGGATGGGAACGGGATGGAGCGGGATGGGAACGAGATGGGAGCGGGATGGGAATGGGATGGGAATGGGATGGGAGCGGGATGGGAACGGGATGGAGCCGGGATGGGAGCAGGATGGGAACGGGATGGGGCTGGGATGGGAACGGGATGGAGCGGGATGGGAACGGGATGGGAGCGGGATGGGAGCGGGATGGGAACAGGATGGGAGCGGGATGGGAGCGGGATGGAGCCGGGATGGGAGCGGGGTGGGAGCGGGATGGGAACGGGATGGGAGTAGGATGGGAGCGGGATGGGAGCAGGATGGAGCCGGGATGGGAGCGGGGTGGGAGCGGGATGGGAACGGGATGGGAACGGGATGGGAGCGGGATGGGAATGGGATGGGAATGGGATGGAGCCGGGATGGGAGAGGGATGGGAACAGGATGGAGCTGGGATGGGAGCGGGATGGGAACGGGATGGGAGCGGGATGGGAGCAGGATGGGAACGGGATGGAGCCTGGATGGGAATGGGATGGGAGCGGGATGGGGCCGGGATGGGAACGGGATGGAGCGGGATGGGAGCGGGATGGAGCCGGGATGGGAGCGGGATGGGAGGGGGATGGGAGCGGGATGGGGCTGGGATGGGAGCGGGATGGAGCTGGGATGGCAGCGGGATGGAGCCAGGATGGGAACAGGATGGGAACGAGATGGAGCGGGATGGGAATGGGATGGGAGAAGGATGGGAACGGGATGGGAATGGGATGGAGCGGGATAGGAGCGGGATGGAGTCGGGATGGGAACGGGATGGCAACGGGATGGGAGCAGGGTGGGAGCGGGATGGGAGCGGGGTAGGAGCGGGATTAGAAGGGGATGGGAGCGGGATGGGAACGGGATGGGAACGGGATGGAGCGGGATGGCGCGGCAGGATGGGAACGGGATGGGAGCGGGATGGGAACGGGATGGGAACGGGATGGAGCGGGATGGCGCGGCAGGATGGGAACGGGATGGAAGCGGGATGGGAACGGGATGGAGCCGGGATGGGAGCGAGATGGGAACGGGATGGGAATGGGATGGAGCCGGGATGGGAGAGGGATGGGAACAGGATGGAGCTGGGATGGGAGCGGGATGGGAACGGGATGGGAGCGGGATGGGAACGGGATGGGAACGGGATGGGAGCGGGATGGAGCGGGATGGGAGCGGGATGGGAATGGGATGGGAACAGGATGGGAGCGGGGCAGTGAGGGGCAGCTGTGGGTGTTGGGGATCACTTGGGGAGCACATGGGGCAGTTGTGGGTCTGGGGCTGACTGGGGTGTCAGCTGGGAAACAGTTGTAGGTCAGGGAGATCTCTTTTGGGGACGTTGTAGGTCTGGGGAGTCACTTGGGGGTCACTTGGGAGGCAGGTTTGGGTCTGGGGAATCACTGGGGGGTCATTTGGGAGGCAGTTGTGGGTCCGGGAGGCCACTAAGGGAGGCAATTTTAGGGCTGAGGGGATCATTTGGGGGCAGTTATGGCTCTGGGGGTCACTGGGTGAACACTTGGGGGGCAGAGGTAGGTCTGCGAGCTCTCTTGGGGGGCAGGTGTGTGTCTGGGGGGTCACTTGGGGGTAGTTGTGTGTCTGGGGGGGTCACTTGGGGGCAGTAGTGGGTCTGGGGGGTCACATGGGGGGCAGTTGTGGGTCTGAGTGGTCACTCTGGGGGCAGTTTGGGGGCTGTTGTAGGTCTGGGAGATGACTGGAGGGCAGCTCTGGGTCTTTGGGGTCACTTGGAGGGCACTTGTGGGTCTGGGATTTCATTTGGGGGACACTTGGGGAACTGTTTTTGGTCTGGGGGTCACTAGGGGGTCACTTGGGAGCAGTTTTGGGTGTAGGATGTTACTTGAGGGTCACCTGGGGGGCAGTTGTGGGTATGGGGAGTACCCACAGAGCATGAGGCTTGGCTTAGAGAAGCCTCACTGCTCGTCAATGAGGTTGCAGTAGCGGCAGTGTCTGCCTCAGGCATTAGAGTAGCCCCGTTGCTGTGGCTGGCACTGCAGCAGCTGCTGTTCTTGTTGCAGTGGTTGGAATAGCTGCAGTGTTTATGCCTATTGTTGCCATGTAGTAGCCACAGTCCCAGTCGCAGGGATTGCAGTAGATGCAGGGCTTGTGGCTGGCAATGAGAAGATGTAGGTCTTGTGCCTGGCAGTGAGAAGCCGCAGTGCTTGTGGCTCGCACTGGAAAAGCCTCACTGCTTGTTGATGTGGTTGGAATACCTGCAGTGCCTGTCTTTGGAGTTGTAGCAGCCGCAGCACCTGTCCTTGGCATTGGAGTAACCCATGGGCCTGCTGCCATGGTTGCAGTAGGCACAGTTCTTAGGGCTTGGGTTGGAGAAGCCTCACTGCTTGTCGATGGCGTTGGAGGAGCAGCAGTGTTTGTCAGTGGCGTTGGAGAAGGCACAGTGCTTCTGGGTAGGGTTGATCTAGGCACTGCCTATGTTGCAGGCCTTAGAGTAGCCCCATTGCATCTTCCTAGAGTTGGAATAGCTGCAGAGCTTAAAACTGGTGGTGGAGCAACTGCAGTGCTTGTGCCTGGGGCTGGATTAGTCACAGTGCTTGTTGATGGGGCTGGAGTAGCTACAGTGCCTGTCCTTTGCATTCGAGTGGCTGATGTGTCTGTCACGGTACTTTGAGTACCCGCAGAGCATGAGGCTTGGTTTGGAGAAGCCTCACTGCTCGTCAATGAGGTTGCAGTAGCGGCAGTGTCTGTCTCAGGCATTGGAGTAGCCCCATTCTTCTGGCTGGCACTGCAGTAGCTGCTGTGCTTGTTGCAGTGGCTGGAATAGCTGCAGTGTTTATGCCTATCGTTGCCATGTAGTAGCCGCTGTCCCAGTCACTGGGGTTGCAGTAGCCGCAGGGCTTGTGGCTGGCAATGAGAAGCCACAGTGCTTGTGGCTCGCACTGCAGAAGCCTCACTGCTTGTTGATGTGGTTGCAATACCTGCAGTGCCCATCACTGGAGTTGTAGCAGTCACAGCACCTTTCCTTGGCATTGGAGTAGCCCATGTGCCTGCTGCCATGGTTGCAGTAGGCACAGTTCTTAGGGCTTGGGTTTGAGAAGCCTCACTGCTTGTTGATGGTGCTCCAGGAGCAGCAGTGTGTGTCACTGGTGTTGGAGAGGCTGCAGTGGTTGTGGCATGCACTGGAGTAGCTGCAGTGTTTGTGGCTGGGGTTGTCGTAGCCACTGTATACATAGCAGGCCTTAGAGTAGCGCCATTGCTCCTTCCCAGAGATAGAGGAGCTGCAGAGCTTAAAACTGGTGGTGGAGTAACTGCAGTCCTTGTGCCTGGGGCTGGATTAACTGCAGGGCATGTTGAATTGGGTCCCACCTGCCACAGTGCCTGTCCTTGGCGTTTGAGTGGCCAATGTGTCTGTCGTTGTATTTGTAGTACCTGCAGTGCTTGTGGCTTGGGTTTGAGAAGCCTCACTGCTTGTCACTGAGTCTGGAGTAGCCACACTGCTTTTTTTGCCCTGGTTGGAATAGCAGCAGTGCATGTTGCTGGAGTTGTAGCTGTAGTGACAGTCCTTGCCATTGGAGTAGCCACGGTGCCTGTTGCCATTGTTGGTGTCACCGTAGTGGCTGTGGCTGGTGCTGGAGTAGCTGCAGTGCTCGTGGTGGGTGTTGGAGTAGCCGCTTTGTCTGTTGCTTTGCTGTCAGATCTTGTCTCTCCTCACTGCAGAGCATGAGAGACTGAATCAGCCTTGCTCGGGGTAAGTGCTAATCAGAAACCACTATACAATCGGTGTGTTACCAGCGTTATCCTCAGACTAAAGCCCAACCTCACCACTGCCCCAGCTACAAGGAGGAGATATAACTCTTATGAGGTGTCCCTCTGACACCTATTGCTCTCCAAAGAACCCAGAAACCAATCCCCACAAGCCCCCCAATAACTGCAAAAGTCCCCCCAAAACACCCAACCTCACCAAACTCCCAAATCCCCCAAACCCCAAAAAAACCACCCGCTCTCCGCAAAACCCAACCTGCCAAAACCCCCAAACCCCACACTCTCCCCAAGAGGCACCCCCAGCTTACTTGCCCAGCTGCTGGCTCAGGCTGTGAGGGTGGAGGGCGGCTGTCTCCTGGGGCAGTGGATGTTTGCAGCCAAGGGTGGTTGAACACATCGTCCAGGGATGGCCTGTCGCGAGCTCTCATGGACAAGCACCACCTGATGAGGTGCTGGCATTCTGGGGAGAATCCAGAATCCAACTGCTCAGTTGCAGGAGGCTCCTGTCTACCTTGTGCCACCGTCCGCAGCGCCCAGGCCTGGGTGCGCTCAGAGCTGCACCCAGACCTCCTGCTCCATGACTCGGTTTGGAGGAGAGCAGGATGGCAGGACATGGGCCACCTCCTCCAGCTGACCAAGGGAGATCAGCTGCCACCCCCTAAACCCCGACCTTCCCCTGCTGCTGCGAAGCCAGGTACCTACCGACAGAGATCCGGCGCTGGAAGAAGAGCTGCCCGCTGACGATGTCCTCGCAGCACCGGAAGGGGAGGACCCCGCACACCATCTCATACAGCAGCACGCCCAGGGACCAGATCGCCGCCGGACGGCCGTGGTAGCAGCGCCAGCGGAACCACTCCGGCGGGTAGTACAAAGGTGTTCCTACAACAGGATACGGGCGCACCTCATTAGGCAGATCCCGCCTGCTCCTGGATTCTCGCCCGCGGATCCCCAGGGATGCAGGGGCTGCACCGGTGGCGCCACGGACGTGGGGACGCACACTCGGTGTGACCCGCCACCTCGTCATCAGCACGTGACTCTTGTTCACAAACTGCTCGGTACGGGAAGCACCCTGGGCTGTGGGCTCACCGCTAAATTTGGTGTAGACCGTGTCCCTGAGGAGGGTGCTGCAACCAAAGTCAATAAGCTTGACCTCTCTGGTGGCCAAGTTGATGATGATGTTCTTGGGCTTGATATCCCTGTGCAGGACACCGCGGCTGTGGCAGTGCCGCACAGCCACCAGCACCTGGAGGAAAATGCCCCGCGCCAGATTCTCGGGCAGGAACCTCCATTTTTTGATGAAGTCGGAGAGGTCCTGCGATGGCTCCGGACGCTCCAGAACCAGCACAAAGGAGTGGGGCAGCTCAAACCAATGGAGGAGCTGGATGATGGCACTGCAGCCGGAGCGCACCTTCCTCAACATGGCTATCTCCAAGGGAATGCGAGGGCCGCTGGGCTGCAGGGGGACCACGGCACTGTCAGCAGGGCCGATGGTGGCCCGGGGCTCCTGTGCCTCCCTGCCTGGGATGCTCTGATGCCCTCCTGCAGGTGCCCCCCGCAATCCCCAGGGATGCTCTGGTGCACCCCTACCCGGCCCGTGTCCCCTGGTGATTCCACACCCACTCCCCTCTCCCTGTCCCACTTTCCCCCCCGCCGGCCCCACCGGCTCACCCCCACCCGCTCTGCCCCGCACTGTCCCGGTGGCCCCGCGCACTCACCCGCTCCTCCCAAGAGGAGATGCGCTCCCGAGCCACTCGTTTGATCGCCACCTGCGAGCCAAGGGCAGCGCTGGGCTGAGCTGAGCTGAGCTGAGCTGAGCCCCGCCGCCTCCCCGGCCCGCCGCCGGGCCCGCCCTTACCGGGCTGTTGTCACACAGGCGGAGCCCCGAGTACACGGACGCGAAGCCGCCTCTCCCCAGCAGCGGTCCCACGCGGTAAAGCCGCTCGAAGCTCTCCTTGTCGTGCCCCGTGCGACAGACGCGGCCGCTGTCGCTGCGCGCGGGGTCCCCGCCGGCCCCCACCGGGCGCTCCGGGCCGAGCGGAGCCGCATCATTCCCGGCCTTTCCCGGCCGAGGCTCCGCGGCGCGCCGCTCCCCGCCGGTCCCGGAGCGCAGATAGGCCGACGGGTCAATGCGGGTCAGGAGGAGCACGGGCACCTTGCCCGACCGCGCTGCCGGTGACGGCACCCCCGCAGCAGCACCGCGCTCCGGGGTCTCGGGGGTCGCGGCTGCCGGGAGGCTGCGGGGCGGGGAGGGAGCGGGCGCTCCGCCGCCGGTCCGCGCTCCGCCGCCGGTCCGCGCTCCGCCGCCGGTCCGCGCTCCGCCGCCGGTCCGCGCTCCGCCGCCGGTCCGCGCTCCGCCGCCGGTCCGCGCTCCGCCGCCGGTCCGCGCTCCGCCGGGCACCTGTGGATGGTGGCGGCCCCCGGCCGGCCCCAGGCGGGGCGGGGCCTGGGGGCGGGCCGGGGAGCGCCAGGGGGCGGCGCTGCCTCGCCAGACCCAGACCCAGCGGCGGCGGCTCGCCCAGCGCCGCCACTGCCAGTACCGGGAGAGGGGAGCGGTGCCGCGAGCCCCTGCGGGGGGACGCTGGGGGGACGGGGGAGGCACCATCGCGGGGAGCGGCGGAGGGCGGGCTCCGGACCGCCGAGAGCTGCCGCCGCCGCCTCACCTGGTGCTGCTGCCCCTGCTGCTGCTCCTACCGAAGCCGCTGCCGCTCAGAAGCCGCTGCCGAAGTCGCTGCTGCTCAAAAGCCGCTCAGAAGCCGCTCAGAAGCCGCTGCTGCCGCCGCCGCCGCAGCCTCGCTGTCAACGGCTCTGTCCACGCGCGGCCCGGGCGCCCGCTGCCACCGGGCGGAGCGGCCGGCGGGGGGGGTCTCGCGGCCGCGGGAGCCCGGGGAACGGCGGAGCGGGCCCTGCCCAGCCCCGCGGCCGGGCTCGTGCGCCCCCCGCCCGGCAGCAGCATCCCCGCGGCCGAGCCTTTGGAAACTGAACCTGAGCCTTGGGACCCTGCGAACGAGGCTTTAGAACTGAAACCGGAGGCTTTGGGAAGTCACAAGGAGGCTGCAATTTACTGCTTATTTTATCCCCTTTTTCCTTTCCACAGAGGTGGATTGAGGTGAGATTGTGATGAACACATAAATGTATTGGCTTTCTCAAATCATAGGTGTGCTCACGTGCAGGATATAACTGTACGAGTTTACAGTAACAGAAACAAAACACGCTAAAGATACCAGACCAGACAACAAGTTAAAAAGGTTCAGATCTCTTGATCTAAATGGAGTCACATAGCAAAAGAATTTGTAAAGGTAAGAGAAGTGGGGGGTGAAGCTTGGTATAAGGAAAGCTAGTGCCTGGAAAACATAGGGTTAAAGTACTTTTTAGCTTAACTTAGGCTATAGAAAGAGAACAGTGTTTATGTTGTAAGTCTGTGGGATGTAGTGGCCCCACTTAAACATGAGTTAATTGTTTCACGCTGGTCTCCTAAAGTAGTTTTAAAGAGCAATGTTTGTGTTGTAAGTCTGTGGTGAGATAACAGGCTTTAGTGGCCCCACTAAACATGAATGGGTTATTTCACACCATCCTTATCAGTTAGTTTCAGACAGAGCCTCCCAAGGCTCTGCTAGCTTGGGATACTCCTTGTCTGCCCATCCTGCAACAAATTTTGCAGGAAGGTCACACTGTTTTAAATCCTTGCTATTTCTCAGAATAATTACAGATATAGCTGGTTGTGTGGTTGCTGGGGTGTCCAACTGTGCCAGAGGTGAAAAGTACACCGTGAGGAAGACTGCTTACTTCATCTTGAAGACCCCTACTCACAAGAGGAAGACTCTTTACTTCATCCTCAGGCCCCCTGCTCACAATCACCACAGAGCAGTGTGCAGACGCCAAGAGGAGGAGACTTGTGAGAATAAATTCTTGAAGCTCGTTATAATATCCTCCGCCTATATGCGGGAATTATGAATATGCATGTAACTAATGTAACACTGAAAGTATATAAACCTGTACCAAATGCTAATCCCTTGCGCCTCTGGCTGCGGTCACGCGCCCAGCGCTGTCGCTTTTGCTTTCTTGACTTTGTCCCTCACTAAACCCTCGTTACCTCGTTTAGAGGAGTGAGTTCGTATTTCACAAGCTCTCAGGAAGCTCTTCCCTGTGAGGGTGCTGAGGCGCTGGCGCAGGGTGCCCAGAGGAGCTGTGGCTGCCCCATCCCTGGCAGCGTTGGAGGCCGGGTTGGACACAGGGGCTCGGAGCAAGCTGCTCCTTCCATATGGAAGGTGTCCCTGCCCGTGGCAGGGCTTGGAGCTGGAGGAGCTTTAAGGTTCCTTCACCCCAGCCCATCCGGTGCCTCTGGGATCCCATGGGGAGCGGCTCCTCCATGAGGAAAGGCCCCGCCCCTCACGGGGGTCCCGCTGCCTCCCCCCTTCCCCGCCCACTGCCCCGTGCGCATGTGCCGGAGGCCGGACTACAGGTCCCAGCGTGCCCCGCGCGGGGGAGCCGTGCGCTGATTGGCTGCGTCGGAGGCGGGCCCAGGGCGTGAGGCGGAGCTGGAGCCGGCAATGGCGGCGGCCGAGCGGGAGGAGGTGAGGGTGAGCGGGCGCGGCGCGGGTCTGGGGGGCGCTGCAGAGCCCGGGGAGCGGGGCTGGGGGTCTGCGGCCCCCCGAGGCTCTGGGCAGTGGGGCCGGGCGCTGCGGGGGAATGCGGGGGGCGGGTGCGAGCGCTGGGCAGTGGGGCTGCGAGATGGCTGGGAGTGTGGGGTGCTGCGAAGCCGGGGCCTGGGTGGCTGGGAGCTGTGGGGGTCCCGCAGCTTTCCGGCCCTGGGGATGGAGCGGGGCTGTTGTGGGGGGCCCTGGGGGCTGTTTCCCCCCGGGGGGGAGGTGCTGCTGGGGCAGCCGATCCCCGGCACCCGAGGGGGGAGAGGGGGTGCAGAGGTGTCGGTGACTCTGGGGCGGGTTTTGGCTCCTGGAGCGGGATGGGGAGCAGGAAGGGAAGGATGAAAAACCCGAGGGTGGAGATAAGAACCGTTTAATAACCGAAGCACAATGTACTAGTGCTGGTGATAGTGATAATGATGATAAGGGAAATAACAAGAAGAGAGAAAAAAAAAAAGAGGAAAAGGAAAAAAAAAACCAAGCCAATAAACACAAGTGATGCCCAATACAATTGCTCAGCACCCGCTGAGTGATACCCAGCCCTACCCGAGCAGTGATCCTTCCCTTCCAAAGAACTCCCCCCAGTTTAGGTACAACTAAAACGTCAGTGTGTTGTCAGCATTGCTCTCGGAATAAAGCCAAAGCGTTGCTCTCAGTGTGGTTTTCAGCAGCCCATTGTACCATTTCCATTTCAAGTCTCAGTGTGTTGAGAAGGGCCAGAACCTTTATTTGCCCTGCTGCTGATTTCCCCTGGTCATCGAGCTGAAGGCTTTAGATGTGGGAGCAGTTGATCTAGGGCTTGTTCATGTAATTTTATGCCATCTAAAAACTAAACGGAGTTTCTCTCATTAAAGCTCTACAAATGCCCTTTAAATCCTAGCGCTTTTAATGTATGAGATAGCTGTGGATGGCCCGGTACACAGCCTACGCGTACAGCACCCTACAGTACAAAATAATGTATGACCTTCCTGGTCCCTGCGTGCGGCTGAAAATGAGTGTGGTGTCACAGGAGGTTATTTGAGGATGAACTGAAAATGTTCCAGGCCTTGTTTCTGGGGAAGTCTCTGGTTCCCAGGTTGTCCTGGTGCTCTGTGGGCAGGCTCCTGGCCAAGTGTTGTCTGTGCAGGTGTCCGGGAGGCTCCGTGCTTCGTCACGGAGTCGCGTCCTGCACTGAGGTGACTCTTAGTTACTGCCGTAGCTCAAGCACAGGCCCTCGCCAACGGCTGCAATCGCTGTGAGTGCTGGTTTTTGTAAACACGTTTTTTTGCAGGGGGTTGTCTCTTCTGTGAAACGTTTGCATGGGATTTCTGTAGTTAAAAAAATACACAACTGCTTTGTTTTCCCCCTCTGCTTGCCTGTGGTGAGTAGGAAGGAGAAGGAGAATGTCTGGCAGAGACGGGTAAAGAAGAGACAGGGGAAGAAACGAGCCCAGAGAAGCAGTGCGGAAGATGCCAGTGAAGAGCAGGGAGAAGAGAAGCAGCAGCCTCCAGCAGGTCAGGCGAGAAAGTGCCCCTCCCAGAGCAGCGTCCCAGAAAAAGGAAGGCGGCGAGAAGTTGGAGTCTCAGGTGAGCCTCCTGCTGAGGGAATGGGTCGTGGGTTTTGGTGTCTGAGAAGTTGAAGGGTGTTGTGGTTTAAACCCAGTCAGGTAACTCGTTCACTCACCCCCCCCCCCCCTTCTTTCCCTCCCCCTGCTCCCGGAGGGACGGAGAGGAGAATAGAAAAGAATGCAACTCCCACGGGTTGAGATAAGAACAGTTTAGTAACTAAGGTATAACACAGATCACTACTGCTACCACCAATGATAATAATGATAAAGGAAATAACAAGGGAAGAGAATACAACACCTCAGCACCAGCTGACCGATAACTCGCCCCCCAAGCCCGACCAAGCTCCGACCGATACCTCCTCCAACCCTGCAGTCTCTCAGCCCTTCCGGCTAACTCCCAGTTACATCCTGGGCATGACGTGCTGTGGTATGGAATACCTCTTTGGTCAGTTTGGGTCAGGTGTCCTGTCTCTGCTTCCTCCTGGCTTCCCCTCCTCCCTGGCAGAGCATGAGGCTCACAAAGTCCTTGGCCAAACCAAAACATCGCTATCAGCTCTGTTCCCGAGCTGAAAGTCAAAACACAGCACTGCACCAGCTACCAAGAAGGAGAAAAATGACTGCTACTGCTGAACCCAGGACAAAGGGTGAGAAGCAGTCTCTAGGTTCAGGCAGGCCTCGGTCAGACACAGCAGTGAAGCAGCCATTTATTTAACGTTTGTGCACAAACGGGTGTCCTGGCAA